TGTGAATAGAGCAGAATGAGCTGGAGTCCAAAGATTCTGTCATTATTAAGGAGACAAATAGCATTCTAAAATTTTCACAGCATTCTGCTTGATTGAGAGCCACTTTAAATGTACAGAAAATAGCTCATAGAAAAGTCTTTCCTAGCATGTATCACATTAGTACACAGGGAATCACAGGCATGAGAGGAGTTGCACATCAGGAGAAATGTGCACATGAGAGGAGTTGCATATCAGGAAAAAAACAGGCCCCCGGGACTGTCTCTGACATCACCCCGGGGATTAAGACATCACTGGACAGCTGCCCTGATCCCCTTGCTGCTGATCCACCGCTGCTGCTGGGACGCGCCTGGGCTAGGATGCTGCTGCCACCTTTCTCCCCAACACTGGCAAGGCCTCCGCGGTCCCACACATGCTTCCTCCCTCCCCCGCCTCTCCACACAGGTGGCAGCTGTGCCGGGCGCGGCAGGTGGTGCAAGGGGGCCTAACAAGCCATCATAGGAGAAGGAGGGACCAATGTTTGATACCGGTCCCCTCTTCTGGTTATTCCCCCAACCAGAAGGTTCCTGGCAGCAATATCAGCCAGCCCCTGGGCCTGATGGCGTTGCTGTTAAATGCAAGGTTGTTCCATAATAAAACATCTGTCATCCATGATTTGATCATCGATGAGGGAGTCGACCTGGCATGTATTACCGAGACCTGGGTGGGAGAAGGGGGAGATGTCTCCCTCATGCAGTTATGCTCACCTGGATAGCTTGTGCAACATTGGTCACGCCCAGAGGGGAGAGAAGGGAGAATCAGTCTGGTTCACCGAGCCAATATTTCCCTTGTGAGGCTTCCTGTCCCTTCGAGACCAGGTCTTGAGTGTTTGTACCTGGTGTTGGGCGACCAAGACAGATTAGGGGCTCTGATGGTGCACCGTGCACCCTCCTGCCCAGCAGACTCCCTGCCTGAGCTGACAGAGATCATCTTGGACCTGGTATTGAGGACCCCTAAGATGTTGGTCCTGGGGAACTTCAATAGCCATGCCGAGGCAGATATGTCTGTGGTGGCTCAGTACTTCATGGCTTCCATGACAGCCATGGGGCTGTCTCAACATGTCACCGGCCCAACCCATGAAAGAGGTCACATGCTTGACCTGGTTTTCTCGACGGGACGGGAAGAGGGTGGCCTGGAAGTGAGAAACTTGATCTTAACTCCTCTGTCATGGTCAGACCACTTCCTCATGAGGTTTGAGCTCGGGTCTGATCTCTCCCTCTGGAAGAGTGGGGGCCCTATTAGGATGGTCCGCCCCTGGAGCCAGATGGATCCAGATGGATTCCTGAAGGCTCGGAGGGATTTTCCGGCAGATAAAGCTGGCGCTCCTGTTGATGTTCTGGTCGACTTGTGGAATAGGGAGATGACCAGGGCAATCGACACAATCGCTCCTAAGCGTCCTCTCCCACCTAGCAGAGCCCGCTCGGCACCATGGTATATGCCTGAGTTGTGGGCGATGAAGCAGACTGGGAGACGACTAGAGTGCAGGTGGAGGAAATCTTGGGACAAATCTGATCGAACACACTCAACGTGCACATTATCGTGCCTATGCTGTGGTGGTGAGGGCAGCGAAGAGGCAGTTCTTCTCCGCTTCCATTGCTTCCTCACAGTGCCACTTGGAGTTTTCTGGCCAGGAGTAGGAAGCGGTCGCACCTTCGGCAGCCCGCTGTGATGACTTTGCCCAGCACTTTAGGGAAAAAGTCGCTCAGATTCACCGCGATCTGGACTTCACAGTTGATTTGAATCCAGTACTGGAGGTGTCCAGAGTGCTGTCTCGTCCATCATTATTGAATGAGTTTCAGTTATTGCGGCCTGATGATGTGGACAAGGTGCTTGGAATGGTACATCCCACCCCGTCTCTTGGACCCTTGCCCCTCTTGACTACTTAAAGAAGCCAGTTATGGGATTGGTCCCTGGGTCCAGAAGGTTGTCAACGCCTCACTGAGGGAGGGCCCGATCCCTACCCCCTTGAAGGAGGCCGTGATCCGGCCTATCCTGAACAAGGCATCCCTGGACCCAGAGGTGGCCGCCAATTTTACACTGTTGGCCAACATCCCATTCCTGGGCAAGGTGTTAGAGCGGATGGTGGCAGGACAACTCTAGGCACTTTTGGATGAAACAAATTATCTGGACCCATTTCAGTCCAGTTTCAGACCTGTTATGGCACTGAATCTGCTTTAGTCGCCCTGTATGATGACTTGTGCAGGGAGAGGGAGAGGGGGAGTGCATCCCTGTTGGTTCTCCTGGACCTCTCAGTGGCTTTCGATATCATTGACCATGGTATCCTTCTGGATAGGCTGGCCGGGTTAGGAGTAGGAGGCTCTGCTTGGTAGTGGTTCCACTCCTACCTGGCTGGCCGACTCCAGAAGGTGGTACTGGGGGACTATAGCTCTGCGCAGTGGCAGCTGTGCCATGGGGTTCCGCAGGGCTCTGTTTTGTCCCCCATGCTTTTCAACATCTGCATGAAACCGCTGGGAGAGGTCATTAGGAGGTTTGGGCTGCAGTGTCACCAGTATGCTGATGACACCCAGCTCTACCTCTTATTTACATCTACTCCAGGTGAGGTGGTGGCTGTGCTGAACCAGTGCCTGGCTGAGGTAATGGGCTGGATGAGGGTCAATGAACTGACCCTCAATCCAGATAAGACGGAAGTCCTGTTGGTGGGCGGATTGCAGTTTCAGGTAAGTGACTTTGACCTTGCCCTGGACGGGGTAGCACTCCCTCTAAAGCACAGGCTCCACAGCTTGGGAGTGCTCCTTGACCCAGAGCTGTCACTGGAATCCCAGGTGGCAGCGGTGGCAAGGAGTGCTTTCCTACAGCTTCGGCTGATCCACCAGCTGCGCCCTTACCTGGACAAGCACTGCCTAGCAATGGTGATTCATACTCTGGTAACCTCCCAGTTGGATTACTGTAATGCATTCTACGTGGGGCTGCCCTTGAAAATGGTCCGGATACATCAGCTGGTTCAGAACAGAGCTGCCAGGCTGCTGACGGGGACCAGTCATTATTCTCATATAAAGCTGGTCCTCTACCAGCTACACTGGCTTCCAGTTGAAGTCCGGGCCCAATTCAAGGTGCTGGTTTTAACCTGTAAGGCTCTGAATGGCTTGGGACCAGGATACCTGAAGGAGCGCCTCTTCCCTTACATGCCCTCATACACCTTAAGACCTGCAAGAGAGGCTTTGCTCCGGGGGCCCTCTTTAAAGGAGATTAAAAGAACAACTTCCCAGAGCAGGGTCTTCTCTGTGGTGGCACCCAGAGTATGGAATGCACTCCCTGGAGGGGTGCACCTGCCCAAGTTTATATTCTTTTCGGTGCCAGGTTAAAACCTTTTTATTTAATTGCTATTTTAAAAAATTAATATTTTATCATTCACAGATGCTTTTTTGTTTTTGTTTTTATATATTTTTATGTAATTTGTTATTGTTTTATTGTTTTAATTGTATGTTGTGAGCCATCCCGAGATGCCGAGGCATGTGGTGATGGCATATAAAAGAAAAAAAAAGCTAAACCAAAATGATTCCCACTTATGTATTAGTTTCAGTGTGATTTAAATATGTGATCTTCCTCCTGTAAAGGTGCAGCCCAGAAAAAACTGCTGGCATAGTCCCATACACACTGGTATGTAAGGACCATGGAACCCAGTGCTGCCTGTTCTGAATAGACAGGATAGAATTGTGCTGTAATCACACTATACTTTAAACAAAGTGCATTTAAAAATCTGGCATCACTTAATACTGTGGCATCATTAAAAGTAAATAAGTGTGGATTAGTTCTTAATTGAGTGCTTCAGAGAATCTAGTCTAAACTTTTCAAAAAACAGGATAGAAACATAACGGAAATAATATGACAGCCTTTTGTCTGTAGCTTATTTGATTTATACCTTGCCTCTCTTCCATAAATGGCACTCAAGGCAGATTTCTATAGTAAAGTGTGGATGGAGCAATAATCGGTCAGAATCAGAGTGATGCACTTGCCAGTGGTTTTTAAGCCAAAATCCAAACAATCTGGAACTTCTAATTGGCATAAACTGGTTACTCCGATTGTGCTCTTACCTGACAGCTAAGGTAGGGCAACTACAGATGGGTTTCTTTATGCTGTGGTCTTCCTCGAAAGAGAAGCCGCTTGTCCTGTGACGGCTGGCCTGTGACCCAATTTAAGTTGCCTGATCTATACCTTAGTTAAGGTATACTATAAGCTATACCCTAACATTTTGCCTAACGTTTTCCCTACAAAAAGGTAAAGGGGAAACATACCTACCTGTATCTGTGTATCCCCATTGATATACCCATGTTAAGAGTCTGCTGTCAACTGCAGCTTAAATGTGTAACTTAGTCATGGGGCAGGGTGTAAGTAAGATGCCTTCTGTGTAGGTAAGATATCATATGTAAATGGACCCTAAAACTAAGGATCAATTTCTTTTATTTTTCTTACTGGTTCCTTTTGGTTCCATGTGGTGTAAGAAAAAGCATGGAGGTAATATGTAGTCATCTTCCCTCTACTCTACTAGTGATCTCTATTTCAGGAGATCTTGTAAACTGAAAGTTGAGAGTTCAGTTTAAGATAGGATGGTCACTTGCTAAACTGGCCCTGATCATATATCTTTAGATATGTGCCATTCAGTTAACCTCCGCTTTGGTTCTTCTCAATGGTCCAATGTTGTTTTTACTTCTGTATTGGTCCACTCACATACTGCAGCATTGTCTTACAGTTTGATTTGCCTTTAGTGTTTTTCAAGGGTGCTTTTCACAGTATCTGCTGATATCACAGTAAGAATGTGCATGGCTGTGTGCTTTAGGTGAAATACCTGGCATACCAGTTGCTGTTCATGATTTAGATGAGGGCTCAGCTTACACTTGTTATGCAAGTTCTCATCCTTAGAACAGCAACTTTATATTTTACAAAAATAATTTATTTTTGTTTTGTCTTCTGTAAATATGCGAAATGTGTTGTGTTTTGTTTTTCAGGTCCTCCAGTAAGTACGATGGACATTTCTCTTGAGTCTTGAGTCAACAAAGTTAAGGCATTTATTTTCATTTCTGTGTCATTTCATGAGAACAGCACTTTTCAGTAGAGGTGTGTCTGGGACATAAATTGGTACCAGATGCTGCTTTTACTCTGATTGTAGGCAAATAGTTAAAGAGAAAAAGTAGTTTGAAAAAATGCTTACTTCTCTGCCCAAAGGGTTTTGTGGCCATTTTAAATGTATTATAAGCGCTTTTTTTTTTCTTTTTCTCAACTTTAAAAGAAATCATGTGCTTATTCTGCGTGTATTAGTATTGCCAATGTTAAATTGCCTCACTGGTTTCCAGCACAAATGTGTCTGATGGGTAAATTGCTAGTGATACTGAGAGCACAAAGCTGTGCTTTTCCTGATGAATGTGCCACATTTGGTGTTAGAGAGCTGTGCTGTTGAGACTACCTGGGAGGCCTTCCAAACATGTTGTATGCAATGGTCAGTTAGTTCCCACTTATTAGCACAGGTGATTTGGGGGAGAGACCCGAAGTCACCATAGTTCTGTCCTGGACTTTTGTGGCCTGTGCCATGCAGTACTCTATCTGGACAACACAAAGGCAAGTGGCAGAGGCCCAGGGTATGGGTAGACCTTGCCTGGATGCCTGCAGGCTATTCTTATTTGCTACAGACAACCAAACAACTGCCTAATTACAAGGCTTGTTTAAACCTTCTCCTGTCTCCCACAAAATACAAAACAAAAATTCCAGTGTACCCTACTTGTTCTACCATGGCTAAATTGCTCAACATTTCAGATTTACTCATTAAGTTTGTCAGAGTCCAAAGGAAATTGTGTTTCAGAGTGCTTGTAGCATTTTGGAAAAATAAACAGAAGTTATATTTTCAACCTGCATAGTAGCTTTTTAAAAGGTTGTCCTCTGTGCTTTCATCTGCTAAGCTTTTCTTGCTAAGCATAGTAAAACTGTGTAAGTTCCTTCAAATTAATAAGCTCATTCTCAAATATCAGAGCAAAAATAAATACAAAAACAAAATAAATACAAAATGTATTTAGTGCTCTTGGTAAGACATAAAACAAATTCTTGTTCTGAAAGAAAATATGCATTTATATCTTATTTTAATTCTGCCATTTGAGGCATTTTCACTCAAATGATAAGTGTGTTCTTCATTAAGAGTCTCAGAAGATGCGGTGCCTCTTTTTATCACTTGTGTGCACTTGTAAATGATTAAAATGTGCTCTACAGACTTAACTGCAGAATACATCTTCCATTTTGTAATGTACAAACATGTAAAATTAATATAAAAGTACTTCAATGTCCCACACATAAACTTTCTTCTAGCTTTGGCTAATGGGAACTGTGCTCTCTTTTGAGGTTGGACATACGATTTCATATATTACGTTTTCAAAGGTCCCAGTCTTGAAAAGGCTTCTCTGTTTCAGCTTTTCCCAAGTTGGTGTCTACCAGGTTCACAGCAGCTCCCATCAACCACAGCCATCATGCCAGTATGTATGGATGATGGAGATTGTAGTCCAAAAGTTTAGAAGGATACCAGGTTAAGAAAGGTTGGGTTGTTATAGCATGAAGATAAGGCATACCAAGCAATAGGAGCAGAACCAACTTTTTCCTTCGGTTTGTTGGTTTGTCAGAAGAAAAAAAACAAGTAGAGTTAATACCAAGCTTGATCTGTTTGTTCACCTTTTTTTCTTATTTGCTGCTTGTGCTTTATAATAATGGCCACTGAAGGAGAAGTCATAAGAAATGTACATTTTCTAATACTTTATATTCATTCAATTAGTTTATGTGAAATATATAATTTCTCTATTACTAGTTCAGGCTTTAGAAGATAACCATAGTTTGCACAAATGCACTGGCCTCATGGAAGTTGTATGTCACTGGTAGTTATTACCAAGGAATATTTGATGGTTGTTGGGGAGCTCAGTCAGTGTTGAAGAATATTGACCCCTCCAGCTTCAAACCCTTCCTTAAAGGATTTATGCTGGCCGGCATAGCAGTGGGTTGACACTGAACAACACAGGTTAGTTAATTTTAACCTGTGGTGCTGAATTTGTTATAAAGGAATGTGTTCACTGGTTATCATGAAATAAACTTGGATCATGAATTGTGCCAGCATAACTTTAGTATAGTAACTTTTATTTATTTTTAATTACAGAGGTAGTTAAATGCCATTGCTTGCTGTTCCTCACAATATATAACTAAAAGTGTAACCTTAACTGGTTCCAGTTTATCAGCCAATTACATGCATGCAATGCGGTGGTGGCCTTCCACCTGGAGCTGCAAAGAAGTTGGAGTGGCTGCGCTTGGCTGTATTAGACTGAAGTTAGGCCCGTATATTCCTTCTACAGTGTGATTCATTTACTTTCTAAGCTCAGCTGCTCATACAAAATGTATTGTTCCAGTTTTGCTCCAACCAGCTTCACTGTACTATAACAGAATGAAGAAAAAGCCTTTCTTATCCAGATAATGTTTTCATTTACCTCATATGATGAATTTATTTTTTTAACTTGCAAGACGTGATTTCATAAATGTTTTCTTAACTACTACAGTGACAGAGTCCTTTTAAACTCTGTATGCTTTCCCTAAGCCCACAAAACACAATATTATTGTGTTTAAACAGCATTGCATTTAGGATTATTGGTTTCTTATGAGTCCCCAACCTTCTTTTTTTCCTTTTTCTTCCTTTTTTTAGTCATAAGGAATTGATTACTCCATATACCATAAAGCACCAGGTTATGCTGAAAATTCATTCTTCTCTCCTTGTGCCACCAGAGCTGCCTGTTACTTTTTAGTTGTCATAAATTGAGTTCACATATTAAATATTAGACTTTGTGGTACAGTATTTATGGCTGCTAGATGACTGACCATCCTGTCTGCAATATGAGTGTGCCATGCAAAAGTGCTTCAAAAGAGTTGGTTACAGAGGATATTAAAATCACATGCTGGGTAGGTAATTTCTGCACACTGAAGGATATATTTACTATGCACTTATAATTTAAACACTAACCATATCAAATATTATAAAACACTCCATATGGCAAGGTAGAGAGACCGTGGAGGTTTACTGACATGGGAGGCTCCTAAACTGCAGTGTATTTACTTAGTCCTGGTTTATTATTACTGCCCACAACTGGCATATACAGATAGGAATATTGGTCCTTAATAGCAGGCATACAAATGAAGGCGGGCCACTGAGAGTGAGAGGTGACCTGAACAAGGCAAGAAAGAGAAGATAACTAAAAGGCTCTCCCGGTTGCCATCTTCCAACCTTCTTAACTTCTGATGGCTTTGCTCTGATCTGATGGGCACTTATTCTAAGAAGGAGTGAGGCAATTGGAAAAACAAGATAAGGAGTCCTTTGATGGATTGTGGCCAAGGTACCCACAGATATCTGAAGTTGACCTTATTTTGCATGTTTAAAATCTCACTTCCATTCATATCCCCTGTATTTTAATCTGAAATCATTTTGGTAAATATATATTTACAATCAATCTTGTTGCTTTTAGGAGAATTTAGAATTCGTAAAAGTGCTCTGTTACTAAAAGTGGGTGTTTTTATTAAGTATTTCAGTTATGTAACTAAGCAGAAACTGATAATGGGAAAAATATTTTTGGAAGATGGGCATTGAAAATAGCCATTCATTGAACAAAATGAAATCAAGTGTTTATTAAATTGATGACCATAAAAATAAAAACTGACCTTATATTGATCTTCATTCCATAAAACTTCTCAAGTGCTGTGATGGAGAAACATGAACTTTATAGCATAATGTTGCATGATTTTTAACAGGAAAACATTGTCAGCTAATACTTAACTTGATAGAACCTCTATTTTATGTATACACTGTGTTGTGCAACCTGACACTGTTGTGTAAGATACAGCTCATGCTGCCTTACATGCTGTCCAAAGAATTTACTTCTGTGGTTGACAGCAATACTTGGTCCAGAGGCCACACTAACAAAAGAAAATGGCAAAGAATCAAAATACTTTGGCCCTTCCTCTTAAGAAATACTGAACTCCCAGTCGTTATAGTTCAACAATAAGATAGAAGTAAGGATGTGATTGTTATCAAACCAGATAAGTAGGAGAAAGTTTACCCGTAGACAAAACATGAATAATGGTACTTCTGTGTCATTATCATAGTGCCATGGATTTAAACATTGAAATAGAATAGTCACTCATCTGAGTGGGATGGTGTAAACTGGTATCCTGCAACAACAAGGGGTTGGACCTGATGGCCTTCATGGCCCCTTCCAACTCCACTATTTTCGGATTCTGTGAGTGTATGTTTCTGGACTGCAGAATCAAATGGGATTATATGGGAAGAATAAAGCCAGCATTTGCTAACACGCTTGAAGCAATCATCAGAAATTCAGTTGGAAGTAAGCTGCCTTCAGTTTTTACGTATGTCAAGTTCCCCTATTAACTAGAAAAAAAATGCTCTTGAAAATCCTTCAGTTCAAGTTCGTTGTAGCTCAGTGCACATTCAGTTTAAGCCAGAGGGACCGGAATTTAAATCTTTGTTGAGCTATAATGCTTACCAGGTGGCCTTAGGCAGTTCTCAAATCCCTCAGGTTGTTGTGAGGATGAAATGGGACAACAGCGTATGATGCCCTGCCATGAGTGCTTGTGTCTGCTCTTCTGCTGCTCAGAGAAGGGGGAGTAAGTAGAACCTACTGAGCTTCTGTCCCTCTCAAGACAATCCCTGACTTTTTGTATTGACTGTGATGTCTTTCTGCTGTTAAGTACAACTGACTGATCTTATTGTTTTCCTCATTTAATATCACAGGGGCAGTCAGGACGAGATGGTTACCCGGTAACTTTGCCTTTCCCTTATTTTGTAATCTTTTCTCCAAGCTGCACATCATGCTCAAATTCCTAACCTTCTCTCTCTCTGTCTGTCTCCTGACCCTTCAGTCATTAGCAGAGTTAAAATAACATTTGAAGCTATGTTTGATATGCAGAGTTACCCATTGACTCAATTTGTAACCAATTCTGAAAAGTACCATGTACTTCTGCAGTCCTGGAGATGATCCAAAGTTCTACGCACTCTCTGGAGTGTATATAAACCTACCATGTACACAGCTTTCCCCACTAATTCCAGTGTAAGGGACAGGTCTGTGTGCAAAATGTGTGCACATTTGAAATTTCCCAAATAGGAAGGTCTTATATAGGAATGTCAGGCAGACATATGCAAGGCAACCGGGGGTTGCTTTGATGGTTTTTAGGAAGACACATTTATGTCTAAGTGTCTCAGTACTGACAGTTTATTAGATTGTAGAAAGCCTCCACTATTGGGCAGTATACAAATGAAATACACACACACACACACACACACACACACACTTACTTTTAGAAAGGCTTGCATTCAGATTACCCATTGATTGTAAATGGGCCATAACTTATCTGGCTGTCAGAATTACCCCAATACTCTTTTCATTTACATAAATGAAAAATCATTTGCATAAATAGTTAAAGGTAGCATCTATGAACTATGATCACAAAAGATGAGATTGTATTACCAGTTTGGAAATATTTATTAATTTATTTCAGATAAGTTTCAGCTATACTGCCTCATAGCTAAGGCTGTCTGGGACGTTTCCAACAGTGCATGAAAATAATAAAATAAAATACGAATATCATAAAAACAAGGCAGCATTAAAATAAATTTAAAATAGCTAAAACATACAATAAAAGTAGCCATGTGAAAGAACAAATAAATTTCACCTGGGATAAGTAATCCCCCAAAATCCCTGAATAGCTGAGTAAAGGCTTTAGCATAAAGGGCCATCTTACCCTGGTGCTGAATAGATGAAAGGTTTGGTGCCAGTCAGACTTTAGTGGGGAGGTTCTTCCTTAGATGGGGGAGGGGAGTGCCCGACAAAGAAATCCTCCCCCTTGTTGCCACTCTCTGAGCCTCCCTCAGCGTTGGCACTTGGAGGAAAGCCCCAGAGGTTAAGCACAGTGTCCGAGTCATTGGGAGAGGTGCTCCAACAGGTATCCGTGCTCCCAGACCAAGTAAGGCTTTATAGTGAAGAACCAGCAGCATGAATTGGCCCTGAAAGCATTCAAGCAGCCAATGCAAAGGGGCCAGAACCTGCAGGTCTTACATGTTCAAACATAAAGGCTCTGGTTATTAATCTGGCTGCCACATTCTACATGAGCTGCAGCTTCTGAACCATCTTCAGGAGCAGCCCAGTCCATTTCAGTAATCTGATTTAGATATTACCAGAGCACAGATAACTGAAGCCAGGCAGCCTTGGTTATTAACATCCCAGTTTCTCAACACCATCATTTCTTAAAATGCAGTTTGTGTCCCCAGAATGCTGATACATTTGCTGTGTGCAGTATGGTTGATCAAATATTATTTATTTACATATTTATTTTCACTTTTGCAACAAGTGTAATGAGTACAAGTACAATGAGTACATATTATATAACGCTGTGATAAGATTTGTGCAGAAGTGTATGTCCTTCCTAATAATGCCTATATCATTTTTGTGACTTTTTTGTTCTGTTTTATCTAGATTTTAATGTGTTTAGATTACAACCCAGCACACATTTATTTGGGTAAAAGGCCCACAGAACGCAATGATGCTTAGCTTTGGATAGACATGTATAGGACTTGCACCATTAGAGGATGATATAGCCATCATCTTGCTATTCCTGCAGTATAACAGAATTGCCTTTTAAAAAGGAGAGGAAAAAGTGAATATTGTCAAGGCTACTTTCTGTCACCTCAAAAGATAGCACCTCCACTTCATAACCCTTCCTCATGCAGGTTTCTAAATTTTAAAATTAGAAGGTTGTGAACTCCCCTTCTATTAACACTGGATGCTTATAACTACATTGTCATTTTTTAAAAAGTTGAACAGTTGTATGCCTCCAGCTATTTCTCCCATTTAATTACACTGGAATGGCAGTAGAAGAAATTAGATTATTATTATTAATTAGAGATAATATATTTGTGTGTGCATGCACATTCACATGTGCATATGTCTGCTGTGTGGTCCTGAAAGGAAAGGTGTTTATTTTAACTTATAGACAGGTGCCATCAGGACAACTGAAAAGCAATCAAAAACTGTGGAAATGACAAGGATTTGCATACTGAGAGAAGCTGAAGTTTCTGATAGTTCTATCACTGACAAAAGCAAAAATGGGCCAACTTACATAGACATCTTAGTGACTTATGAACATGGATAATTTATTCAAGATTGAGTTTAAAGGGTTTGCTCTCAATGGTCTTTTTAAATATAGCCACTAGGAAAATGAATCTTCATTTTTGAATTAGCATAGGCATTAGAGATACTTTGCCTGCCTGCTTTAACCTTGGACGGGAAAAGCTTATTTCTTGCAGCCCTGATTCTATTTTTAGTCACAATCCTCTGCATACAGGATGTGCTGGAATGCACTAAAACCTTTTGTTGCATACCATTGATCGGAAATAAGTTTATAATCTGTCCTTAGTGAGCAAAGGAGAAACACTGCATGGTTATGCCCAAATACTGGCACATTACAGTTCATTCCTTGGCTCATCCTTTGTTCCGGAAGCAAATAATCCTTTATTGTCCTTGGCAAATATCATATCTGTTTGCCTGAATCAGAGACCACATGCAGAGCTCCAGGGACGAAGCTGGGGAACTCCATCTTAAGGGTTCACTTCTACTTTACTTTTCTGTATGACTACAAAATCTCTGTCTTTTCTTCTCTTTCTCACTCTCTTTGTAAAAAGCAAGATTTCTTCTGGGCTTATTCACAAATTCCTTCCCAAATTTCATACAAAAAGTAGAAGTGATAAGAGTGAAATAAAAAGGACTGCTTTGATGTTTTCCATTGAGGACTGTAATGTTTTTTGATGGGGGATGGTGAGGTCTGTAAACATTATGAAAATTCCTTTGCAGCTCACACAGAGTGCAGGCACTGGCTGAGAGGATAGCATGGATATTGAATTGTCTTATCTGTCTCTAGGCACTATTAAAGATCAAGTGAAACATTCAGTTATTGAAATAGAAATAATCTCACTATTCCTGGACCATCTCATATACCATTAGACTTTCCTTGTGCAAGTGAGGTGAAATGATGGCCCAATTTGCATGCCAAAAAGCAGTCTCTAAGCCAGGAACAGACAATATGTAGCTGATGAGCTCTATACCACCTGCCTCATCCTTTTGTGCAATGCCTACTTCCCCAGTTTCTGAATTCACAATTTGAGCCAAGCTTTCTGTCGGTATTGTCTTGCAGTCCATATTGTCCATGCAGGGGTCTTCTCTGGATCTTCAGAGGAGGGCAATTGCAAAACCAAGTAGAATCAGCTCTTAAAAGAACTTAAAAGAAATGGGTGAGATGGAAGGTATTGGAATGCACTCCAAATAAAATTACAAAATCCTACCCCCTAACATGCCTAGATCTTAGCTAAATTATGTATACACACCCATCAGTAAGTATAGTTGCTAAGAGCACTACAGTTGTATATGGCAATACACAGTGCTTTTTTTTTTGCCATAGAACACACCGGAATGGAGTTCCAGCACCTTTTTTTGACGGTTTTTCCAAGTTTTAAAAGTAACTTTTGAAAATTTGATGTTTGGTCCACATGGATTTGAATCACGCTGTCGAGCATAGCAGGTCGGCTGCAAAATAATTAAAACGGTGCCTGCAGGCTGCTTGTATGTCAAATCTGATGCATGCGTACTTCGTCTGCACTGGTTGTGATGGTGCTGCTCGACTTGTGATTAGTTGTGTGGTCGTGCGCCGAGTGCTTGCTGCAGGTGGCGACCATTATGTTTCATTACACAACTGACGTTTGTGGGTATGTGTACAGTGATTGACTATGTGCAAAAGGTAAATAATTTCATGAGTTCTGGCACCTTTTTTCTTACAGAAAAAGCACTGGCAGTACATAGGTACAGACACACACACACATACATGTGCACACAGTGATTGGCAGCATGGGTGACTGAGCAACCACTTGTCACTAACTTTCCTACTGGTATGACACCAAGTGGCATTTCAGAAGCTTTTGTGCCAGTAAGGTTACCAATACACTGTTGAGGTTATCTCCACGGTACTTGCTGCCTGGGCATCAAGGAATGAAATCCTCGTGCTACTATAATCCTTCCGGGAACAAGCTTAATTGCATATTGATTGGCTTCCACCTTTAAATAACTATGAAACAAATGACTAGCCTTATCCTAGTCATGAGGCTGAAGTACAAATGCACGGTACACCGTGCTCCTAAATTGTTAGAAGCAGAAAAGAATTGGATTAAATGAAAAGCAGGCAGTAGAGTCTCGCTAGGAATAAAAGAAACTTATGATGTCTGCCAGATCCAGTTGTTTACTCAGGTCTAATTAGCTCATGGTGAGATGCTAGGCATTCTCAAACAGATAATGCTAGGAACTGGTACGTGTTCACTTTTTTAACTCAAATGGCAATGGAGAGGTATAGTCAACTCTCTTTCTTTGGTTTTGTCCTTGAAATATGTCTTGTTTTATGTATTAATTATATTTGAACTTTTTTTATCGGTGATAATGATGGCTGTTACCCTATAACAAGTAGATGGTAGACAATAGAGTACCCTTGCTGCCAGTGCTCAGTTCAGTTGTTTGCCTCAGGCAAAATTAACTAGTGTTTGGAGTTTTCTAAAAATCCCATTGCCTAAGGCAGGGGTGGGCAAAACATGGTTCATGGACCACATGTGACTGTGCCACTGCTCCTGCAGAGTGGCACTATCCACCCTATGCAGTGTCACTGAACGAACGCAGTGGCAGTGAAGTGAAATTGGCAGGAGTGGGGATGGCAATTTAAGCACTGCAG